ATGGCATTCTCCTTACCCATTGTTATGGATTGAATTGTAGCCCCCCAAAATATGTATTGGAATTCTAACCCCTGTACCTGTGGATGTAATCCCGATCAGGACTAGGGTTTTCTTTGTTGTGTTAATGAGGCTGTATCAGTGTAGGGTGTGTCCTAAACCTAATCACTTCTAAATTATAAGCAGCAGCACAGATACAGGGAGAAGGAAGCACAAACGGGGAAGATCACCAGGAAACCAAGGAATGCAAGGGCTACAAAAGCTGAAACAAGGATCTTTCCCCAGAGCTGACAGAGAGAGAGCCTTTCCCTAGAGCCGGCGCCCTAAATTCAGTTTCCTAAACTGTGAGGAAATAAATGTTGGTTCTTTAAAGCCATCCACTTGTGGTATTTCTGTTATAGCAGCACTAAGAAACTAAGACACCTATTCTCATGCTCTATGACTAGTTCTAAACCAAGTTTTCCTTCCCTTTTCATATCCTTACAGATTGGCTGGGGTCCATAGTTCACAGCAAGGAGCCCTAGTGATGCAACGGTTAAGCGCTCACCTGCTAATTGTAAGGTCAACAGTTAGAACACACCAGCCACTCTGCAGCAGAAAGATGTGGCAGTCTGCTTTTGTAAAGATTACAGCCTTGGAAACCCTATGGGGTAGTTCTACTCTGTCCTATAGGGTCGCTATGAGTCGGAATCGACTCAAGGACACAAAAAACAAGAGTTTCTGGCCCAGTCTGTGTAACGTTGCACATTTTCTGAGCATCTCTTCTCTGAGCGCTGTGCCAGGGACTGGGCCCTCCCTCCCCCAACCCTCACCCTTTAAGTAGTAATTTTCTTTCTTTTCTCCTCAAACCCAGTGTCTTGAAAACTTTTTTTTTCTTGCTCATTAAGTCCCACTGAACATAATTTTCAAGACCCTTCATTTACGTAGTAGTACAAAACGTTGTTATTTTCAGTCAGCTACACTTACTGCATACACAAACATCCCATAAATGAAGCTTCATGTGTGATTGGTATTCTGGCAACATGTGACACTGCCTGGTAAGTAACTTACCTTCCCAGAGAGGCAGCTCTCCTTAGACGTGTGGCATCTGGCTCCATGAAGTCACTATTGTTTAGCTTTTCCAGAGTGCCAAGGTGAGCAGCTAGCTCAGTGGTGACTTCCTGCTATTGAATCAGTTCCTTATTTTTCTGATTCAGTTAAATGTTTGGGGGAACCTCATTTGAATACTGAATAAAATATAAAACTACTAGATTTGGCTTCTCTTCAGAGGAGATACACTGAAATCTGACAGAAATGAAACGTTCATAATTTAAAAAATGGGAAGAGGAAAAGCTGCTCCCAAGTACAACCTAGTTGATTTTCTTGGTTTATAAGGCCTGTATTTAGCTCATATTTATATCATATACTGTGCCAGATGCCTTCATATATCTCTTTTATTTAATCCTCAAAAGTCTTGTGACTTAATCATTTCTATTTGACAGGTGAGGTTGTTGGGGCTCAGAAAGATTAAGTAACTTGTCTGTGGTCACGGTGCTATGAAGTGACAGAGTGAAATTTGAACTCAGGTCTGGCTCAAAATTCAGAGTGCTTTCCACTGAACCACAGTTACATCTATTCAAATAGCCAAACCCTAATCAATAATAATAATTATTGTTGTTAGGTGTCATCGAGTCGGTTCTGACTCAGAGACCCTGTGTACAACAGAATGAAATGCTGCCAGGTCCTGTGCCATCTTTACAATCATTGCTTTGTTTGAGCTCACTGTTGCAGCTACTGTGTCAATCTATCTTGTCAAGGGTCTTCCTCTTCTTCGTTGACCCTCTACTTCACTGAGCATGATGTCTTTCTACAGGGACTGGTCCCACCTGATAACATAGCCAAAGTATGTGAGACAAAGTTTCACCATCCTTGCTTCCAAGAAGCACTCTGGCTGTACTTCTTCCAAGACAGATCTGTTTGTTTATTCTTCTGGCAGTCCATGGTATATTCAGTATTCTCCACCAACACCATAATTCAAAGGCATCAATTCTTCCATCTTCCTTATTCATTGTCCAGCTTTCACATGCATATGAGGCAATTGAAAATATCATGGCTTGGGTGAAATTGTTTACTACAGATGATCTAGTAATGCCTATTGGATAATCTGCTTCTGGGAGTGAGTGCTGCCTCCCAGTGGTGGTAGGATCCCAGGTTACAGCCAAGATTTTAGCCAACCCCAATGGCAACTCTTTCCTTCTGTCCCTCTCTCCAACACTTACTGAGTGCCTACTCGGAAACCAAAGAAAAAGATGGACTCTTTGAGGGCCTCATAGTCTAGTGGGAAAATCTGATAGGTTATAATACAAAATTAAAAGCATCATGATGGGCAGGAACTACTGATGTTCGCAACGAATCTCAAAACATTATGCTGGATGAATGAAGCCAGTCCCAAAGGAGTATATACTGCATGATTCCGCTTGTATGAAACTCGAAGGAAGACAAAACAATCTATAGCAATAAAGAGATCAGTGGGTGCCTGGAGCCAAGGGTAGTGGCATGGGGATTAACTGGGAAGGGGCACAAGAAAACCTTTTGGGGTGACAGAATGTTTCATGTGCAGAGTTATGCATGTGTTTACATTTGGCAAACCATGCACTGAAAATGGGTATTTTATTGTATGCAAATTATGCTTCAACAAAGATGATTAAAATATTAAAAAAAAAAAAAAATCATGGCTCGGGTCAGGCGTACCTTAGTCCTCAAAGTGACATATTTGCTTTTCAACACTTTAAAGAGGTCTTTTGTAGTTGTCGTTAACATTTATTTAGCTCTTCTCATGACGCAAGCACTGTGCTGAGCAATGCATGTATGTGATGTGATCCTCATAATCATTCTATGAGGTAGGTTTATCAAAATCTCCATTTTACAGTTGAGGAAATTGAGTTTCATAAGAGTTCAGTAATTCCTTTGTTCTCACAGCTGGTAAGGAGTAGGGCCACAGTTTGAACCTAGGTCTGTCTATTCCAGAACCCATCCTCGTAATCATCATGCTAGACCGTAGGAAACAAAACTCTAGACCTGGCTGCCACCAGGCAAGTCATTCCATAGCTCTATCTCCATTTCCTTGTTAATTAAACGGAGATACTGTTACTTGTCTGTATCTATTTCAGAGATACTGGGATTATAAAATGAGAAAGTGTGTAAGCTTTAAGAAGGGAAACTGCTATATAAATCTAAGGCATTGTCACAAGTTGTACTCATCTTCTCAATCTCACAATCATAAAGGGATTTAGTGACATCATTAGCTCTCAAATGTCCTCCGAAGTGGGTAGTATTATCTCCACTTATCAAAAAGCTGAAGCACAAGGAGATGATGAAATTTGCTATTCAGTGGCAGAGCTGGGGATAAAACCAAAGATTTCTAACTCCCACTGTTTATGTTCTTATCGTAAAATCCTATTTTTGCATTTCAAACTTAATTGTAAAACAGTCAAGATAGCATTATTGCAGTGTCCGCTTCAAAACACAGATTAAACACTTTCAGAAATTAAATTTTCTACCACAGTGACACTGATGTAATTGCTAAAGTTCTTAATCCTCATATTCTAGAGAAAATGCACAAAGAATCAGAAAGAAAAAATTTCCATTTCCCTAGTATGGACTTCAGTTCTTTAGTTTTCCCAAAGAACTTATTGCTAATCAAAGATTACAAAACTAGCTGAGCCATTACCTAGTTTCAACTAGTGAGTCTATAAGCTTTCACAAGGAACATAAAACCTCACTATTAAGTTGTTCCCTCATAAAATCAGGGAAAAAAAGCATCAAATACATTCTCACATCACAAATACCTAATACAGCTACACAATTTGACTTGTAAATGTTCCTAACATATCAACCAACAATACCCTGAGCTCAAAATCCAAGTTTCAAAGCTAACAGTATAATTAAAACAACAGAAGTTCTTACGGCTCCTTTATGATCATTCTTCTGTACAGACATCAAAGTAACAGTTGTGTGTTTTCCACCCATGCACCACCAGACACACAAAAACCTTAAAGCAGAAAGTAGTATGGGGCCATCTCTCTGTCTTCAAGTCTCTGGCTTAAATAGGGAACACATGTTCAGTCTAGTTCTCAGATTATTAGCTTCTTCTAATTCTTGTTTTCTAGAACAACAAAACGATCTTTCAATTACCACTAGGTTGATAATCACACATTCTTAAATTACCACAGGGACCAAAGAGGGGAAATAAGAAAGAAATTTCCCCTCTCGGAATTGAGCTAAGTACTGGAGTCCATAGTTGCTTCACCATTACTCCCTCTGACTCTGACTGCATCACAGATTTATAAGTGAAAAACCTGTCATTTTGTTAGAGAGACAAAAACTAAGTCACAGGAACCCAGGGTTGTTCTACTAATGTCACAAGAGAATTTGCTTCTTGAGTGGCTTGAGATGTCAAAATCCACTCCTGTTGTCAGGTGCCATCGAGCTGGTTCTGACTCATAGAGACCCCTGCGTACAACAGAATGAAACACTGCCGGGTCCTGTGCTAGCCTCACAATCGTTGTTATGCTTGAATCCGTTGTTGCAGAAACTGCATCGATCAATCTCATCGAGGGTCATCCTCCTTTTCGCTGACCCTCTACTGAGCATGACATCCTTCTGCCAGGACTGGTCCCTCCTGATAACATGTCCAAAGTACATGAGACTTTGCTTCTGAGGAGCATTTTGGCTATACTTCTTATAAGACAGATTTGTTCATTCTTCTGGAAGTCCGTGGTATATTCAGTATTCTTCACCAACACCATAAATTTAAAGGCATCAATTCTTCTTCAGTCTTCCTTATTCATTGTCTAGCTTTCGCATGCATATGAGGTGACTGAAAATACCATGGCTTGTGTCAGGCACACCTTAGTCCTCAAAGTGACATCTTTGCTTTTTAACACTTTAAAGAGGTCTTTTTGCAGCAGATCTGCCCAATGCAATGTGTCCTTTGATTTCTTGACTGCTGCTTCCGTGGGCACTGATTGTGGATCCAAGTAAAATGAAATCCTTGACAACTTCAATATCTTCTCTGTTTATCATGATGTTAAAAAAGAAAACCAATAAACCCCACAAATGTTCATTCTTAGGTTTTTAATAATGTCTTCTTTCTGTGACCATTAGTCCAACCTCCCCCACAAAAATTCAAACAACCATCATAACGTAAATTCACTCCTAGCTACGTAATAAACATCCTACCACCTGAGCAATGGGCTGTGCAGTGAAAGCAAAGGATGCTCTACGTAGGACTCCTAGTTCTTTCAGAGGTTGTTTTTATATGTCAGCCAGTCTTTCCTTGGAGAAAAATCTTTGTCTTGGTTTCTGTAACTGAAACAAATCAACTGTCAGTTGGACTGGGGGCTCTAAGGTCTCTGGAACTTTAATGTGACTATGAATCACTTGGGGATCTTGTTAAACTGCACAGTATGATTCAGAAGGTCAGGGGTGGAGACTGAGAGGCTGCGTGTCCAACAAGCTCCCAGGCGATGTCAATGTTAATGCTTAACAGACGACACTTTGAGTAGCAGGACTCTAAGGAATGCTTCCAAATAGTAATAACCTCAATCAGATGTTTATTCTCAAAATATACAGCCTCTGCCAAGAGTTTATGAAGGGAGAGAATATTCCAGAGCTCAAACAAGGTAGCCATCTCTCTTTTTTGTGACTTTGACCATTTGGTTGTAAACCCAACATAATACCTTAATAAAGAGCAACTTTCAAGAATGTCTTTTGTGCTGACAATTTATTGGGACTTGACTGATTGGGGCTTATACAGATACAAAACCCTTAAATCCTCAAGCCTTTTGTAATCGAAGAGTTGATCCAAAACAAATACTTTTTTAAAAATATGTCAAAGACTAATGAATAAGTGATGTTTACAAATAGTTTATAAGAAAATTACCTGGGATTAATAATTTTCATTCCCCCTACAAAATAAATAGCTCATGTACTAAAGCAGGAGAGAAAAATATCAACAAAAATAATGAATTGTTTTAGTGAGGAAAATAGCAACATTAAGACATACAGAAGTTTATGAGCAGGGTTGAATCTTACTAAATTTTCCAAGAAGCTGGGGAAGGGCTCAGGGAAAGAAAAAAGCTGGTCAATTTAAATGGAAAAGATTACACTTAAGAGCAACACTCCCTCCCCTTAAGGAAACAAGTAAACCTCCACAAATGCTCATTTTTAGGTTTTTAATAATGTCTTCTTTCTGTGACCATTAACTCAACCCTCCCCACAAAAATCCAACCAACCATCATAAAAATTAAGCTGGCAATAGGTCCAGCTGGCTCTACTCCATGTCCACCCTTTCATGCTTTTCAAGCCTATGGGGGTAAAATTCATGGTGGAAGGAGCAAGAGTGAAGAGGGAATTCGTTCTTTTCACTCAGCTATGTTTCAGAAGGAAACCCTCCATCCTGAGCATCTTTCCGCACATTTCCAGGTAAGGTGTCTCAGTGCTTGCGTGCATTCTTCAGCCCCATCACAGTGAAGGTAGCAGCTGTCAGTTTCTCATAAACAAGGAGCATGAGAGCAGCAGTGAGGACTGTTTGCAGCAGTTTGGCTTCCAGGCCTTTGTAGAGTCCCATTATTCCAAAGCGTCTAAAAGGAAAGAGGTTTGAAAAAAATGAAAAGTTTTCTTTATAAAACTCAACTCTTGTGTCAGAGAAAGATGCTACTTTGCAAAGGTTTATCCTTAGGATCAAAACAAGCAATGGAGATTTTAGGTTTCAGCACAGACTTTTGTTGTCAAAATACTTCTTGTCTTTAAAGATATTTGAGGGCTGATGAAGGTTTTGTGTTCACGAGCTACCAATACTTTGCTGTCTTTATAGTCATTAATTAGCAGAATGCCAACAGTATCCCATGAGAGGATGCAGATCCTAAAACCTCCTAAAATAGTATAATACCAAAATCTGAGATCTAACCAAAAACTTTTAGGTCTTTAACACTCTCCCAACTCAATCAATTTCTTGCTTTTTTGTAAATGTTATCTATTTTGTTGTTGTTGAGAATAAACACAGCAAAACATACACCAATTAACAGTTTATACATGTACAATTCAGTGGCATTGATTATATTCTTCTAGTTGTGCAACCATTCTCATCCTCCTTTTCTGAGTTGTTCTTCCCCCATTAACATAAACTCACTGCCCCCGAAGGTTCCTACCTAATCTTTCCAGTTGCTGTTGTCAATTTGATCCCATAGATAGCTCTCAGAAGAGCATTAACACTCAAGGCAGATATTTTTTACTAGTTGTCTTAGTCATCTAGTGCTGCTCTAACAGAAATGCCACAGGTGGATGGATTTAGCAAAGAGAAGTTTATTCTCTCACAGTCCAGCAAGCTACAAGTCCAAATTCAGGGCGTCAGCTCCAAGAGAACGCTTTCTCCATCAGCTCTGGAGGAAGGTCCATGTCATCAATCTTCCTTTGGTCTGGGAGCTTCTCTGCGCAGGAACCTCAGGTCCAAAGGATGCACTCTGCTCCCGGCACTGCTTTCTTGGTGGTATGAGGTTCCCATGTGTCTCTGCTTGCTTCTCTCTTTTATATCTCAAAAGAGATTGCATTAAGACACTATCTAATCTTGTAAACCTCATCAGTATAACCTCATCACAGTGACAGAATTTACAACACATAAGGAGATCACATATAACCTCATCATAGTGATAGAGTTTACAACATGTAAGGAAATCACATCAGATTACACAATCATACAATACTGGGAATCATGACCCAGCCAAGTTGACAGATATTTTGGGGGGACACAATCCAATCCATGACACTAGTTAAGCTAAACTATTGTTTGGTTTTAAGAAGACTTCAGGGGATACTTATGGTTGAAGATTTAAAGATTATCTCAGGGAGATAGTTTTAGGGGTTAATCCAGCCTCCGTGGCTCCAGAAAGACTGGAGTCCAAGAGGATTTGAGATTCTATTCTGCATTTTCCCCTTCTGAACAGGATTCTTCTAAAGAATCTTTGATCAAAATGTTCAGTAATGGTAGCCAGGCACCATCCAGTTCTTCTGGTCTCATGGTAAAGGAGGCAGGTGTTCATGGAGACAATTAGCCACACATTCCATTTCTTCCTCTTATTCCTGACTCTCTTTCTTCCTCTGTTGCTCCAGGTACCAACTCACTTATTTCAACATAACAGTCTCTAAATAGTAGGAAGGCTGCCAATTGGTTTAGATCATTTTATCCTCATTTGAGTATGTGATAGAAATGAAAGGCTATCAGATTCTCAGTCTTCCATACATTTGATCCTCTAACCCAAAGTTTGGTTCTCAAATTTCAGGATTCATCAGGATCACCTACAGGGCTTGTTAAAAAAGATTGTTAGGTCCCATCCCAGTGTTTCTGATTCATTAAGTGTGGGATGGGGAGAGAGAGTTTGCATTTCTAACAAGCTCCCAGGTGAGGATGAAGATGCCAGTCTGGGGACCACTCCTCTAGAACGACGGCTCTAACATCAGAGAAGAGCGCTTCAGCTGGAACCAGAAGTTCAGAGTAAATGATCTTGCCAAGGCTATTTGTGGAGAGTGAATTAATCTCATATGGTATTTCATCAGCGACTCTAGGGCTATACACAGCATGCAGATTGAGATGTTAAAGCCGATCAAGTGCTCCATTCAGAAGTTATTACTACAGATAGTCCGCAATTTATGACGTATTCTAGTTATAATGAACCACACTCACGACTGTCTGCTTTTTTTTTTGGTATATTTTATTGTTAGTAATATGTACTACATATAATGTTGGAGCACATAATTTGCTGTTATTATTCTCAGATGTTCATTCACAGACGTTCAATGTTATGATTTAGTGTTCAAAACAATGCTGTATAGCAGGCTATGGCCTGGTCTACAACAAAGTCGGTGTCGGGAATCTTAATGGATAAAGTTGGGAAATGTTCAACTCTACAGACGTATGACAACTGAACTGTGCAATGCCCAAAAGCCATTATGAGTCCGATTTCATTGTTATGACACTGACGCGGACTTCATTATAGATCAGGTCTATAGGGTGATTGTATTTGGTGTTTCGTACCATCAGAAGTATCGGTTAATTTCATTATGGGAGTACATTTTTATGACTTTATAATTTATGTATTTTTAAAATGTATATATGTATGTATTGGAGCACTGGGGGGCAGTGGTTAAGAGCTACAGCTGCTAACCAAAAGTTCAGCAGTTCGAATCCATCAGCTGCTCCTTGGAAACCCTATGGGGCAGTACCACTCTGCCCTGTAGGGTCGCTGAGAGTCGGAACTGACTTGACGGCAACAGGGTTTGTTTTGTTTTTTTATGTATGTATTAAAATATATACGTAAGTTTATATTTAATGTTTCCAACCCCCAAAGACAAATAAAGACCAGATTTATAAAGATACTGATAATAAAAAGCAATAATAATGAAAACTAAAAAAAAAAAAAAAAGGTATTTGCCTTATGTTGGAACCGACTTATGACAGTCATTGGACTGGAACCCTGTCATAAATCAGGGATTACCTATACATTTCAGAGTAAAACCTGAGAAAGCCAAAACCTGTGTAGGGCAGACCTGTCAGAGAAGGAAAATGCAAATATTTTCCACTGAATAGAGTGACAGAAAAGTGGTGCTTGCATCCTGTCAAAGGTGGAAAACTTGCAAGACTTGGAAAATCAAGGCAGTCTAGTCGAGTTCCGGCTCTCACAGGTCTCACTGTATATATTTGCTATGTGTGAAAAACCTATTTGGGGCAAATCATGTGACAAATAGGAACAAAAAGCCTTGATCCATCCATTCCTACTTCATTGACTAAATTGAATTATGTTAACCTAAGAAACTCAAGAAAGTCCACCTCAATGGTTCTCAAGGTAAGGTCTACCCACATCAGAATCAACAGGGTTAGTTCAGAAATGTAGCCTTCCAGCCTCAAGCCAGAGGAGAGGCATGAATCTGCATTCTAACAAGCACCTCAGGTGATTCTTAACCACACAAAAGTTTGTAGGGGTCTGGTATGCTATACTGCACTATATGAAGTAGAACGCGGCATCAGGATTGGAGGAAGACTCATTAACAACCTGCAATATGCAGATGACACAACACTGCTTGCTGAAAGTGAAAGTCTTGGCTCATGTCTGCCTCACAGTAGGTCCAGTGGGTCCCCGAACCCATCCTGTAGTGATTTCCCCAGTTCCAGAATGCATAATTGGAATAGATATACTCAGCAACTGGCAGAACACCCTGTCTTAGTCATCTAGTGCGCTATAACAGAAATACCACAAATGGATGGCGTTAACAAAGAGAAATTTATTTCCCCATAGTAAAGTAGGCTAAGAGTCCAAATTCAGGGCGTCAGCTCCAGGGGAAGGCTTTCTGTCTCTGTTGGCTCTGGAGGAAGGTCCTCGTCATCATCAGTCTTCCCCTGGACTAGAAGCATCTCTGCAGAGGAACCCTGGGTCCAAAGGACGCGCTCTGCTCCTGGTGCTTCTTCCTTGGTGGTATGAGGTCCCCCTGTCTCTCTGCTCACCTCTGTCTTTTATATCTCAAGAGATTGCCTCAGGACACAATCCAATCTTTTAAATTGAGTCCTGCCTTACTAACACAACTGCCACCCATCCTCGCTCATTAACATCATAGAGGCAGGATTTACAGCATATAGGAAAATCACACAGTACCAGGTATCATGGCCCAGCCAAACTGACACACACATTTTTTGGGGGACATAATTCAATCCATGACACCCCCACACTGGATCCCTGACAAATAGAGTAAGGGCTATTATGGTAGGAAGAGCCAAGTGGAAGCCATGACAACTGCCTCTACCTAGGAAAACAGTAAACCAAAAGCAATACAGCATTCCTGGAGGGACTGCAGAGATTACTGCCACCATTAAAGACTTGAAGGATGCAGGAGTGGTGATTCTCACCACATTCCCTTTCAACTAGCCTATTTGGCCTGTGCAAAAACAAATGGATCTTGAGAATGACAGTAGATTTTAATAAACTTGACCAGGCGGTGACTGCAATTGCAGCTGCTGTTCCAGATGTGCTTTCAATGCTTAGCAAATTAATACATCTCCTGGTCGCTATGAGTCAGAATTGACTCAACAGCAATGGATTTGGTACCTGGTATGCAGATATTGGTCTAGCTGATGCCTTTTTCTTGATTCAGGTTTCAAAGGATCACCAGAGGCAGTTTGCCTTCAGCTGGCAAGGCCAGCAATACACCTTCCCTGGCCTATCTCAGGGGTGTATCAACTCTCCAGCTCTCTGTCATAATTTAGTCTGCATGAACCTTGATTACCTTTCCCTTCCAAAAGACATCACACTGGTCCATTACACTTGGTATTACGCTGATTGGACCTAGTAAGGAAGAAATGTCAATGACTCTAGACTTATTGGTAAAACACTTGCATGCTAGAAGGTGGGAAATTAAGCCGATAAAAATTCAGGCGTCTCCCATCTCAGTGAAACTTCAAGGAGTCCAGTGATGTGAGGCATGTCAAGATATTCCTTCCAAAATGAAGGATAAGCTATTGCATCTGGTCTCTCCCAAAACTAAAAAGGAAGCACAACGTCTAGTGGGCCTCTTTAGATTTTGGAGGCAACATGTTCCTTGCTTTGGTGTGCTACCCCGGCCTATTTATCAAGTAACTCGAAAAGCTGCTAGCTTTGAGTGGGGCACAGAACAAAAGCAGGCTCTGCAACAGGTTCAGGCTGCTGTGCAAGCTGCTCTGCCACTTGAGCCATACGATCCGACTGATCCAATGGTGCCTGAAGTGTCAGTGGCAGATGGAGATGCTGTTTGGAGTCTCTGGCCGACCCCTATTGGAATCACAGTGCAGGCTCTTAGGATTTTGGAGCGAAGTCCTGCCATACCCTGTAGATAACTACTCTCCTTTTGAGAAACAGCTTTTGGCTTGTTACTGTGCCTTAGTAGAGACTGAACGCTTAACCACGGGCCACCAAGTCTCCGCGTGGCCTGAGCTGCCCATCATGAACTGGGTGTTGCCATAATGTCAGACTTGTACAGTAGTACTCTATCATTAAATGGAAGTAGTATATATAAGATCAAGCATGAGCAGGACCTGAAGGCACAAGTAAGTTGTATGAGGAAGTGACCCAAATACCCATGATCTCCACTCCTGTCACATTACCTGCCCTCTCCCAGTCTGCACCTATGGCTTCATGGGGAGTTCCTTACGATCAGCTGACTGAGGGAGAGAAAACCCGTGCCAGGTTTACAGATGGTTCTGCGTGATATGCAGGCACCACCTGAAAGTGGACAGCGGCAGCACTACAGCTCCTCCCTGAGACCTCTCTGAGAGACAGTGGTGAAGGGAAATCCTCCCAATGGGCAGAACTTTGAGCAGTGCACCTAGTTGTTCATTTTGCTTGGAAGGAGAAATGGACACATATGCCACTGTATATTGAGTCATAGGATGTTGCCAACTGTTTGGCTGGATGGTCAGGGACTTACTTGGAAGGAACATGATTGGAAAACTGGAAACAAGGAGGTATGAGAAAGAGGTATGAGGTATGAGGATAGACCGCTAAGAATGGGCCAAAGAAATGAAGTATTTGTGTCTCATGTGAATGCACACCAAAGGATGACCTCTGCAGGGGAGGATTTTAACAATCAAGTGGATAGGATGACATGTTCTGTGGAAATCAGTTATCCTCTTTCCCCAGCCACTCCCATCACTGCCCAACGGGCTCTTGAACAAAGTGGCCAAGATGGCAGGGATGGAGGTTATGCATGGGCTCAGTAACATGGACTTCCACTTGCTAAGGCTGACTTGGCTACAGCCACCACTGAGTGCCCAATCTGCCAGCAGCAGATTCCAACACTGAGTCCCCAGTATGGCACCATTCCTCAAGGTGATCAGCTGGCAACCTGGCGCAGGCTGATTACATTGGACTGCTTTCATCATGGAAAGGGCAGCATTTTGTTCTTACTGGAATAGACGCTTACTCTGGATATGGATCTGCCTTCCCTGCACACAGTGCTTCTGCCAAAACCACCATCCTTAGACTTACAGAATGCCTTATCCAGCATCATGGTATCCCACACAGCATCACCTCAGATTAAGGGACTCACTTCACAGCAAATGAAGTGCGGCAATGGGTCCATACTCATGGAATTCAATCATCTTACCATGTTCCCCATCATCCTGAGGGAGCTGGCTTGACAGAATGATGGAATAGCCTTCTAAAGACACAACTGTGGCGCCAGCTAGGTGGCAATACCTTGCAGGGTTGGAGCAATGTTCTTCATGAGGTTGTATATACTCTAAACCAGAGTCCAACACATGGTGCTGTTTCTCCCATAGCCAGGATTCATGGGTCCAGGAATCAAGGAGTGGAAATGGGAGTAGCACCACTCACTATTATCCCTAGTGAAACACTGGCAAAATTTTTGCTTCCTGTCCCCAAAACTCTATGCTCTGCAGGTCTAGAGGTCTTAGTTTCAAAGGGAGGAATGCACCCACCAGGAGACACAACAATGATTCCACTGAACTGGAAGTTAAAAATACCACCAGGCTAATTTGGGCTCCTCATGCCCCTGGATCAACAGGCAAAGAAAGGAGTTACCATATTGGCTGATGTGATTGATCCTGATTATCAAGGGCAAATGGGACTGATATTACGTAATGGAGGCAAAGTAGAGTATGTCTGGAATACAGGAGATCCCTTAAGATGTCTCTTAGGACTACCATGCCCTGTGATTAAAGTTAATGGAAAACTACAGCAACCCAATTCCGACATGGCTACTAATGGCCAAAACCTTTCAGGAATGAAGGTTTGGGTCACCCAAACAGGCAAAGAATCACAACCAGCTGAGGTGCTTGCTGAGGGTAAAGGGAATATGGAATGGGTACTGGAAGAAGGTAGTTCTAAATACCATTTATGACCATGCGACCAGCTGCAAAAACGTGGACTGTAATTGTTGTATTTCTTCCTTGTATGTGTGCATCAAATATTCATGTTTGATTCATTCATAAAATATAAGATGTAAATGGGGCTAGTACGTTTTTGGTTGTACATGTGTTAGTTGTATCATGTTAGGTGCAAGTATGACTTTGTAACTGTCTTTGTTTAGAGATTGTGTATGGTTTAAGGAGATGGGTACAGCTGCCAAGTTGACAAGGGGTGGAAAGTGATGGTTAAGGTTGTGTGTTAACTTGGCTGGGCCATGACTCTCAGTGGTTTGGCAGTTACATACTGATGTAATTTGGCAATGATGTAGTTATCATCCATTTTGTGATATAATGTAATCACCTCCATGACATGATCTGATCTGAGCAGCCTATCAGTTGTAAGGGGAGTTTCCTTGGGGGTAGCCTGCATCCAATATATATGGACATTCTGGCAAAGCTTGCTAGCTTTTGCTCAGTCTGGATCCTGCATCAGGCTCATAATCATCTGAACCCTGGTTCTTGGGACCTGAGGCAGTAGCCTGCCATCTTACCTGCCAGTCTTGGATTTATCAGTCCCTGCAGCTACGTGAGTCAGGAGATGTTTCTGGCCTGATGCCCAACCCACAAACTTGGGACTTGCCAGCCTCTACAATCGCTTGAGTCATTTCCTTGAGATAAATCTCCTCCTCTCTCTCTAAATATGTATGCTTCACTGGGTTTGCTTCTCTAGAGAACCCAGCCTAAGACACTACTCTCATCATCATCACCATCATCATCATCATAACTGTTATTACTCTTCCTACTCCCCCCCACCCTCTTCCCACTACTACTACTTTATAACATCTGCTTATTCCTTTCAACAAGAGAGGTCATAGGATATGTCATTGATGGAAATACCACCCAGGCAGAACGTTCTCTATATTATATTACAGGAGGGTACCCTTTCTAAGGGAGTTCTGTATATTTGTAACTAACAAAGAATAAGGACCTGAACTTTTCCATAATTTCCCCAAATGTTGTCAAATTGCACTAAGCTCCTAAAATGGGAAATGTCTGAGCACAGTATGCAAGGGCAAGGTTTTCTAGGCTGCCACAGCTAAGGCAGTAGGGCAAGGAAAGGAAGTCCAGCCACTCTCTGGCAGAGTCGACTGCTTAAAAAGACAATAGAACGTGTAGAATCTACAAAGCTCACCTTACTCGTTGGTGCAGATGATAGAGAACATTCCGAAGACTCCCCAACGTTCTGTTTTCTGGGTTTAGATTGTGACGTCCAAACTGGGGAAGAAGGAAAAAAGATAAACAATGCCTGTTATTGATTTCTTTATCTTAATTTCTACCTGGAGAGGAAATTGTGTAAGAGTAAGGTCTTACAACATGTAATAAAAATATCCAACAAGTACCATAGATTTCATTAATTCTCTATTTTTAATGAAATAAGTGTGAGGCAAGCAGGAGAATTTTCATTTTCAGAGAATTATGAAGGAAATTCTATCTCAAACAAAACATGTCCAGGATGATGATTTAGATATCGATGGTATAGCTTAACGTCTACTTCTTTAGAAAGTTCTGATAAAGACTAATCAGCTAGAATCTCTGCAGTCCAAGTTCTTCATATTATATGTTTACTATATAAAAATGTTAAAATACATTTATTTGAATGCCACTGTTTTAAAATAAATGACTCCTGGTGGCGCAGTGGTTGAAGTGCTTGGCTGCTAACCAAAAGGTCAGCAGTTTGAACCCACCCGCCGCTCCATGGGAGAAAGATGTGGCAGTCTGCTTCCGTAAAGACTTACAGCCTTGGGGACCTTATGAGGCAGTTTATGAATCCCCACCTACAGTTCCCAACCCTATGAATCCTCACCTACAGTCCCTTGCTTTGTTTTCCAACTTCATCCTGGGCCACTCTCCAGCCATAGCGGTCTCCTTTCAGTCCCTAAAATTCACCAAGCTTGCAGCACATGATGTTCTCACTATCTAAAGTCTTCTTTCTTCTACTCTTTGCACAGCCGGGTTCTTTTCTTTCTTTAAATATGCCTCCTCAGCGAAACCCATTCCCAGTCTTCCAACTAAGAAGAGCCCTACTCTGCCCCTCCTCCAGGAAATCACAGTGCCATTCACTTCCTCCTTTCTCGATCTGTAACTATGTATTTATTTTGTTTACCTGTTCAATGTCTCCTCAACTAGCTCCAGGAGGGCAGAGATTATGACTGTTTCATTCACCACTGTGTACCAGGGTGGGTGTTTAATAAATATTTGACTGAAGGAATGAAAAAAGAGAAATTTGGAAGTGCTTCAGGGAAGCAAAATAATTTATTCCTCCTGACTGAGGTAAAAGAATTAACCTTTGATTTTGTAGAGGATAATCTGCCCTAGGGCACTGAGCAAACCAACCGGAATGAGAAAGAAGAACACTTATGCTTTTCTGAAGTTCTTAAAGAAACTTCCTCCTTGTTTGGGTTTTTGGAGACATTATGTTACCTTAGAAATTGCAAATTCAAACTTCATTCCAAACTAAATAAGAAACCAACTGATAGCCAGCCTGGTTAGCAGAACATCAAACAAACAGAAAATGGATGAGGAATACTTTGGCCTAACAACTGATTACTTTATTACTTTATTAACATTGCTTAAAGGAGCTGGGGCTTTTAAATAGAGAGAAGCTGTATTTTAGGATGCTGTTTGACTGAATGCAGGGAGAACCCCATACTCACCCTCAGAATCGATTGTATGGTCTGCATGGGATAGGTGAGCGTGGTGGCAATCGCTTTGGCTATTGCACCAATGATGAACACATCCAAAGAAGAAAGCTGGAGAACAAAGGAAGACAGAAGTATGTCAATCCTAACAAGAAGAAGATGTCATCATTGTTGTGTGCCATCGAGTTGATTTCGACTCATAGTGATCCTATAGGACAGAGTAGAACTGCCCCATAAGGTTTTCTAGGCTGTAATCTTTACAGAAGCAGACTGCCACTCTGGCTCCTGCAGATTGGCTGGTGGGTTCGAACTGTCAACTTTTGGTTAGCAGGCAAGCCCTCATCCACTGTACCACCAGACTATTATTTTGCTGCTTTCAAAATGAGGATTACCTTCATTCGTTTCTTTAAAAGCTGCCGTTTTAAACCTTCGTAGAACATGAACTGGATAGCAGGATTGAAGACCAACAGCAAGGAGGGAAATGTGCCATTCCACAAAGCCATGATTCCTTCATCTCGAATTATCTGGTGAAAAGCATCTAAGCAAGAAATCAGGGGCTTTTGAAAAGCATGATGAAAATCCCCTAACTAGAGAAGACACGCGAATTTTGTTGAAATATACCCAGAACATAAACCGTACTGGTTCTACCAAAACTTCCTTCTTGCAATGGTATTGTAGAGGCAAGTTCATCAGTCAACTATTTTTTAATAATAATCAGACACTGACAGTCACCAAGTTATTGAGAGATCAACTTCAATCATAGGCAGGTTTTTTCTGAGAATCTGAGGTTAGAATGTCAAGTTTTCCTAACTAATCATCACCACCAGCAGAAACTCTGTATTACAGAGGACTGTGAACTGATAACCCACGTGTTTTACAACACAGTACAACAAAAGATGAGTCCACTGTATGGTATTTGCCTTATAAGAAAACCATTGCTCTCATTCCCAAAAGTTACCCCTACATTGCTTTAATATACAAAGATGGAAACACGGCAAAGGAGAAACTGGCAATGTGGTACTATTAAAAAGCAGAAGCTCAAAGATATCACATATTAATCTGGTACCTTTATCCAAAGACAACTCTAGAAAAAACATATAGTAGATTCAAAAATACTCAGCCCTTTCCCTCCACTTCATGGGAACAGTATACTTCTCTACCCCCTGTCTTTGGGCTCGGCCATGTGATAGGCCCTGGTTAATAGGATGTTAGCAGACAAGACACAAGCAGGGGCTTGTACACACTGGTACCAGTGACTGTGTCCTCTTGTGCTTTTGCCATCACCATGAGAAAAACATGCTCTGGCTGGTCCCAGGGAGAGGACAAGAGACACGTGATGCTGAGATTCTGAGGCTGGGGTCAGCCTAGATTAGTTAAATCTAGGCTGTCCAGCCATAGACACATGAGTTAAAGAAATACTTTGTAAACACTGAGATTTGAGGTTGTTATGGAGCATTATTGTGGCAATAAATTCCAGATACAAAGAGAAAAGAAAACCTTTAAACAAGAACTCACCCAAGAGACACTTACCAGTGATACCTTTGTAGTTGGTTGGTACAATGTCTTCATTCCTGAATTTTGCCCCTTGCAGCTTCAGTCTGGTATTTACCACCCAGAGTGGAGTTGTTAGCAACACATTCACCACTCCTTTAAAAAGAGAGGGAAAGACAAAAGGAAAGCAAAATGTAACCTTTTAAGCATTACTGTCTTATGCTAAAGCCTTCACATCCCAGTGTTCCATTTATACTTCTGCCAGTGGTCCCCTAGGAGACCCATGGTGAACTGTCTCTGTGCCAACGTATAACACAAGCCACTACTGTCAGAAGCAACTCAGAAGCCTTTCTGATAGCAAATGGCTGACAGCAGCACCTCTGAACATAAAAAGAGTAATAAATTTACACATTTGTGTAGTAGGAGACAATCTACTTGCCATTTTATAGAGCATCCAAGGTAGCAATTCTGATAGAGTTTTAAACACAATTTTAAGTAAAACAGCTGCAGAGAGGGAAGTGGATTACTGATCACATGCTAAGTCCATGACAAGACCAGATAAAACACACAATTTACAACTCTCATGTAAGTAGCTTGTATAGTTTTAAGTGAGGATGGATCTGGTAAAATGAGTGACAGACAGGTGGGAGAAAATGCTGAAATTTCAAAAGTGCTTCAACAGGGACGAGAAGCTCATAGAAGAGTTCCTCATCACTTAGGCAATTAGGATTAGGCAGGCATCAAGCAGTGGTTATAGGCAGTCACAAACACCTGGAACAGCCTCACAAGCATCATGATCCTTACAAGCTTAAGGATGGGGATCGTGGTCCCCCAAGGTTGTCTCAGAGTGGAACAATACAATGAGCCTGGTGCTTCTTTTTTGAAAACACATGTTCCCAATTTAACACCATCTTGAGATATTAAAATATTCCTCAACAGTCCTGGAATGATTAAAAAAAACAAAAACAAACAAACAAACAAACAAAAAACAAACCAGATAGAGTTGTAACAAAGTGCCTAACATACAGTATATACTTTACAGATATTTGTTAAATAAGTCATTGAGCAAACTCAGCAAACAAGCATGCATGGAGCTGTCTGGCTCTAGTCATGCTCTGAAGAACCAAGAGATACAATCTGAAGAAAAGAAATCTTCTAATACTAAAAGTCATTTAAACACAGCTGGAGAAAGAACGTCTTGATTTAAGGAATCTCAAAACACACTACGTAGAAAATACAGTCTAACCGAGGATAAACCTGGTGGAACAGCCAAGAGATTCAAAGTCTACTTTTTCATTTGTTGCCTACAGTTGCAAGAGGTATTTTACTACCTACCCATCTCTTAAGAGCATTAAGAGAACACATTTCTCAAAATAAAAGACATTATCAAATAATTTTATGAAATGTATTTGTTATGTTTTTATAGATTCATGTAACACCAAGGAGCCATCTTTAATTATGACTTAAGATAGTCATACATTGCCACCTGAGGCATTGCTCATAATCTGAAAATATCAATACATGCCCATTTGCCCAGACTTTAGAATGTACTCCTACTCAATGCAATGTACACATCATTAAATGGAGGAAAATCAACAGCCAGAAAAATCAGACTAGAAAGGGCTACTGAGCAGTCTAATGCTTTTTTTTTTTTTTAAATGAAGGAAAGGAAGACGGGAGAGCTCATAACCAGAGATTACGAGCTTCTGTGGATACTGAAGGGTACCTTCAATTAATTCTTTAGAAATCAACATTTCCTTCATGTTCTAGTCAAGAGACAGGCACATACAAACTCTTGAGAGGCAATACAGCCAAAATTAAGATTCAACCATTATTTTTAATTCTGCTTCATATCCCCATTATTAACACAAGCTGAAAGACTGAGAGGATTCTAAGGACAACCTCAAGTACAAAATTGTATGACATTATTCTAAATAAGAAAATATAAAGTTCTTGTGAAAACATTTTACATTTCAAAGCTTTTTATCTGAGAAGTTCAAGTACTTTTTCATCCTCTAAGCCAAAACAGATGAAGAAGTATCTTTCAACTACTCTAGATAATAAAGAGGCACTCAAAATACTTGGGATTCAAACTTTACTAAACCTTGCATCCTATATAATCAAGCAAAAAAAAAAAATTCACTGAGGAGAATATGCCACAAAGCATCATGATTATTGATTCCAACTCTTAAATAACTTATGACAGGCCCCAAGGAGAAAGACAGGTATCTGCTCCTTTATGAGCCTATGTAGAAAACTCTTTTGCAGTTCCACGCTGTGGCTCTGTTACTTCAGCTCTAAGAAGAAAATACTACCTAGCATTTCACCTATGTAAGGGGGTATCATGGATTGAATTGTGTCCCCCCAAAATATCTGTCAACTTGGCTAGGTCATGATTCCCAGTATTGTATGATTGTCTACCATTTTATCTTCTGATGTGATTTCCCTATGTGTTGACAATGCTTTCATTATGATGTAATAGGATAGATTAGCAGCAGTTAAACTGATGAGGTCTACAAGATTAGGTTGTGTCTTAAGCCAATCTCTTTTGAGATACAAAAGAGGGAAGGGAGCAGAGAGATATGGGAACCTCATACCACCAAGAAAGCAGTGCCGGGAGCAGAGCGCATCCTTTGGACCTGAGGTTCCTGCACAGAGAAGCTCCCAGACCAAGGGAAGACTGATGACACAGACCTTCCTCCGGAGCCCACGGAGAAAGCGTTCCCCTGGAGCTGACACCCTGAATTTGGACTTGTAGCCTACTGGACTGTGAGAGAACAAATTTCTTTTTGTTAAAGCCATCCACTTGTGGTATTTCTCTTATAGCAGCACTAGATGACTAAGACAGAGGGGGAGATTGGTTTTTCTTTTAATTTTAATGTCTATGGTTCTATTTTATTTCTATTTTGGGTAATAAATCATTTCCACGAAAACAGAACCAAAATTAAGAGATGAAGAACAGTAGCTGAACACAGTGGCTAAAATTATTCACTGGTTCAAGAAATAATTGGAACACTGTTATTTACTTCTGAAATCTTGAAAACAAACAGTTTTATCAGTAGTGAGTCTCCTTTGCTATGGAGAGAAAATAAAAATGATGTATGTTGATGGGGTATATACTTCTAGGACGTATATGCACTGACTACAGATATAAGAAAATGGCAGATGGAAGCCACAAATCTAACCACTTGACACTCGACAAAGGAATGCATCTTGATACACACCAGGAACAAACCTATTTTACCAGATTTAATGCCCAAGGGCTAGAAATGCATTTTGAACTATGACAACAATGATAATACCATTAAAAACCAAAACCAAACCCACTGCTGTCAAGTTGATTCTGACTCCTAGCGACCCCATACGGTTTCCAAGGCTGTAAATTTCTATGGAAGCAGACCGCCACATCTTTCTCCCATGGAGTGGCTGGTGGTTTCAAATCGCCGACCTTTCAGTTAGCAGTTGGTAGCTTTAACCACTGCGACACCAGGGTTCCTAATAATACCACTGGCATTTAAAAAATTTATTGGTAAAAATTCCTATTTCACAAAAATAGCAAGCGTTCTGTTCCCAAATTCTTCCCCAGGGTAAACTACAGGAAGTTAAACACATTTTTATTTGATTTGTTTTTGTGTATTTGATCTTTCTTGTATTCTACTGCATGATATTATATTGTATAATTATATTATCTTGCTTTATTTTATGGACTGTTTTCTGTGGAGATACAATAAATACATTTGTAAGTTTCGTGCAAGATTTGAGTAACAATAACACTGTTCCTAGTTCTCCTTGGAGACAACAAAACTTGATCCTACAGTGTGATTATAAAACTGTGACAGAACTCTCAGCAGAAAGAGAAAAAGCTGTTCTAATTATTGCAAGAATGTGTAAGAATTAAGATATAAAACATCTTATCAGGAGAAGTTGAAAATTCACAAAAGTAATTTCCAAGGAATTCTCCCTCGTCAGAAAAGAGAAGACCTATAATCAAAGAATTGCAGAATTACAAAGGAATGCAAAATTCATTAATCTAGGGCTCTTAACCATGACACCACTGACATTTTGGGCTGAAGAATTCTTTGTTTGGGGGGATGCTGTTGTGTAGGGTATTTAGCAGCATCCCTGGCCTCAACTCACCCAATGCTAGCTAGCAGCACTACCCAAAAATATCTCCACTGTACAAGGAAAGGTCATGGAGGCCCCATGGACACATCCAAACTCCCCGAGGGACTGAGTTGCTGGACGGAGGGCTCTGGGGACCATGGTCTCGGGGAACATCCAGCTCAATTGGCATGACACTACTTATAAAGATAATGCTCTACATTCTACCTTGGTGAGTAGTGTCTGGGGTCTTAAAAGCCTGTGAGCGGCCATCTAAGATACTCCACTGGTCTCATCCCTTCGGGAGCAAGGGAGAATGAAGAGAACAGGATACAACGAAAAGATTAGTCCAAAGGACTAATTGTCCACAGCTACCAAGACCTCCACCAGACTGAGTCCAGTACAGCTAGATGGTGCCCGGCTACCACCGCTGACTGCTCTGACCAGGATCACAACAGAGGGTTCTGGACAGAGCTGGAGAAGGATGTAGAGCATAATTCTAACTCACAAAAAAAAAGAAAAGACCAGATTTACTGGCCTAAAGGAGACTGGAGAAACCCCGAGAGTATGGCCCCCAGACACCCTTTAGCTCAGTGGTGAAGTTACCTTCGAGGTTCACTGTTCAGCCTGGGAGTGGACAGCCCAGTAAAACCATTGAGAGTAACGAGGTACAGGAGTCCAGTGACAAGGCCCAGAAGGCAGAAGGGAAGTAGGAAGCTGATGATAGGGAACACAAAGTAGAGTAAGGATATTGTTGATGTGTTGTGAGATTGTTAACCATTGTCATAGGGCAACATTTGTAGTAACTGTTAAAGGGGAGACTATTTTGTCCTGTAAGCCTTCATCTTAAGTGAGAATAACAGCACAATTAGAAGAGCGTAGTCAATGTCACTTAAATGTGTATGTAAAAAAAATTTTTGAAATGGTGTATCTTTGGCTATGTGTATTTTCACCAAAAAAAAAAAAAAAAAAAAAGTTGGATTTTAGAGGGTTAAAATGTTGTGGGCTTGTTAACCAATGTCACAAAACAGCATGTGTGTTACTGTTACATGAGA